CCGATTGTGAAACAAATGGGCAGGAAGAAATGGAGGTGGATTGGCCAGATTCTGAAGAAATCTTCAAGTGACATCACTAGACAAGCCATTGCTCGAGTGGAACCCAAAAAGGAAGCGGCGAGTCGGTCGTCCAAGGGTGACTTGGAGGAGGTCATGTGAAGAGGAGATGAGAGCATGTGAGCAGACTTGGAGCCAGGTGAAGACTCTAGCACAGAACCGAACGCGATGAAGACGCGCAGCTGAAGCCCTATATTCCTTTGGGAATTAAAGGAAATAATAATAATCTTAGATAATTTTCCTTCCCGTTTCTAGTAAAACATAGGGAGGGCTTCAAGCTGGAGGCTTGAAGTTTCGGTAGCGGTGGAATTTATTTTTACAGGATGACGCTGCTAGCCCCATGCTCAACCTTCTCCTGCTTATCACTCTTATTATTGGCTTAACGAGGTAAAGGAGCGCGTTGGTTGCCGGGGGCTGGATTCCGGACAACATAAGTGGTCGGCGAGCATTCTATCGCCATGCCACCGACGCACATTTCAGATAATAAATCTACGCATCTACTAGCAGAACTTAAATATTGGCTGCAAGACGTAGTCAGTGAAAGAGGCTAGCTATCCCTGACTACAAGTGTTCGAGGCTTCCTATCTACCGTGGTATAATATGGTGAGTAATGTTTCGGTTACGCGTAGATCAATAGGTTAAGAGGAGAAATCAACCGAAGAGGTTGTGAAGTTGCGTCAACTGAAATTGCTAGGATACTTGTTGGGCATAACAAGCCACCGCCTTACTCGATAACCAATGTTAGCTGACACAGGATTAGGTTGGAAAAACATTGTGGGTGGTTAAAACAAACACTGCAATTCTTTGATAACTAGTTTCAGCCGGTAAACTGAGGAAGTGTAGACTTTTCAGGTGTTATTATTATTGTTCCCTTCGATTCCGAGTGGAAAATAAGACTTCAATAACACATATATACTTTCTTCTATTTTCTGGTATTCTCTTCAGCTGGGTCCACGATTGCCTACAATCTCTGATCTCCCTCTCGAGACACAATTTTCTGCATATCACGACCACACTTCCGACCTAATCGTCACTTCCCGTTGTGATCCCACCTTAGCAAAGGCCTGCATTGCGCGCGACGTCATTCAACGGTCTCCTTAACGTATGCCTGGTGCATGTCAATTTTCTTCCACATATTTGATAAGCTATCGACTCCTGTTAGTTAGTTAGTTAGTTGTTAGTCAGAGTTTCTTATTGCTAATTCCCTCTGGTCAGTCGGCCATTTGAACTTCAGTATGCAGCCAGCGAAATGGGCAGCTGTTGATAAAAGTCGGAAACAAGCTGTTGGCAATCCCTTTCGTGGCACGCAGTGCAATTTTCTGACCCATATAGAAGAACCAATTTGACACTGATGTTGAAAATCCGATTCTTCTTTTTTATGCTGGCTGACCGGAGAAAATTTCGAAACTGGTTTCAAGTTGATGAAATCGTATCCTGACTTTCCCATTCTGACTGGCTGGCTGTCTGGTCCTGACATCTACATCCGTTCCGAGTGCCTGTAGTCGAATCGATGCTTCCTAGATAAGTGAAGGAGGTAACCTCTGTTAAATCCCTCCCGTTCATGGTGATTGATGCTGGTTATTGTTATTTCGGCTCTTTGGTTATCTCCATCTCTTCCGTCTTTTCTATGTCCACCTGGAGTCCTATCTTCACTGCCAGACTCTTCAACCGGTTTGTTGGGCAGCCAGCTTGTCTTATTCCTGTATTCACTTTGAACGCCTAGATGAGTTTTCCGTAGGGTAGGGTCATGTAAGATTTTCTGAATGCTAAAAAAAACAACGGCTTCAGAATAATTATGATATGCCTCAAAACCATTCCATATAGTGTAGATGTATTCACTCTTTTTAATTTTCGAGATTCATCAACCCCTATGTTTTTTCACGCTACTATTCTTTCACTCATACATTTTTGCTCATTATATTACGTTAGAATTCCGTTTTCCACTTCTGTCTATCTTTGTGTGCTGCACAGAGGATGACAACTTGAAATCTTGCACTTTTGTACCGAGTTGTTCGTTCAAGTACAGCCAGTTATACTCAAAAGAATCGTTAACTTTAAGCTACATTTAAAAAGATGTAATTCAAATAATGTAAATATAAAATATTTGGCAAAAAGCGTTTCAAGTGAAATAACAAGATGGTAAAATGTGGACACTTCTTCGTACATATATGAATATTTATGTACATGAATAGTTCTTAAATGAGGTGATATTATTTTAGCATAATCTCATATCTCAGACAGATCTATGTAGTATCTTCACTACACAGCTGCATAACCAAGAACAAGACAAACTCATTTGTCAAACTCGTTAGATTAGCAACATACTGAAGCTTAGCGTGTATTGTTAAAGAGAACCATAAAAAGATAGACACACAGGTGAGAGTGACAAATGATAAAAAAAAGGATTCTATTTATTTCAAGTTAGACCACAAATTGATATCAGTTAGAGAACCATTGAAAATCAGCCACAGGGGTACTAGACAGCTGTTTCGTCAGCATAGTTTGGGACTCATTGGCAATACGCTTCCACGTACGTTTCCAGCCCAGGAACTTGCAGTCACAAGACAAACTCGTATACTATTCACCAACCCCTTAAGACCATGTTAAATGGCCTATGAATTCCAACTTCTAAAATTCGGGATTTTAGCGTTAGAATTCATGAGCCAGTGAATAAGGTCCCAGTGGTTGGATGGTATACGAGTTTGCCTTGCAACCGGAAGTTGTTGGGCTGGAAATCAAGATGGTGAGTATTGCCGAACAACTGTTCATTATTCCCTGGTTTTCAACGGATCTCTAATTGATATCAATCCGTGATCTAACTTGAAGTAATCATATAATCTAGACATAATAAAATTACTTCGAATTTATTTTACTTTTCAAAATAAAAACACAAAAACTAACGCTTATCTTGGTTTTAAACTAAGTCAAAGTTCACTCAAAGTTGTGTCATCTGTAAACTTTCTTCTACGAGAAGAGGACTGCTGCCTACAGAAACTAAGCGGACATGAACATAGTGTTATTTTGGCTGATGATGACTAGTGTTGGAATCCAGGATGTGAATTTCGTTATATTTAAGACTTATTAGTTGATTGTACTTGTATTCTCAGGGAGTAATGTTTGTCTTCTCACTTAGATGCAACTTCTGCAACTATCTTCCAGACGCCTAAGTATAGTTACATACAGATGCCCAGTAGCAAAATTGACGGAATGTTCATCCTAGATCCCAACCCCAGTCATCATTATTATCAACCAATATCGTCAAAACGTCCATATTAGAATCAGAAATGCCAGAAGAAACTAAGGATTTTCAGTCCAACGAAATCAATCAGTGAAAAAAAATTAACCTTTAAAATAAACAAATAAACATGAACACTCTTCATCCTACAAAAAAGAATGATAAAAATTACGTCTTAATTTATCACAATCATCAGATATTAGTTTGTTGAGATTTGATGGTCTACAAATTCGATCACAGATCGTCGTCAGTTAAAGAACTACTGAAAACCAAGGAGTACTGAGCAGCTACTTCTTCCTAGCTTAGGACTCTTCAACAGTAATCACCTATCACTTCACACAGAGTTTCAACGTAAAACCACTGATTTGTGCGGCATACTCATTGAAGATTAAGTCAGTGGGAGGCGATCCACTAATCAGTCAGCCCAAGGCTTTACTGAAACTGTCAGGCCAGAAGTTAGACTTAATGGGCTACTGAATTGTGTCCCAATGGCCTGACTGTCAGCGAGTTAACCTTGTAACTTAAATGTTTTCGATTTCAATTTCGGTGATGTAAATGGTGAGTACTGATGAAGTACTGAGAAAGTAGGACGACATCTTTTTAGGATACTCAATCCGAAATCAAGTTGATTAGAGTCACTTAGAGATGAGTAAATAGTATATGATATATAAGAAGCAGAAACAGAGATACGTCTACTGAGAGTCCCTTTTTTGATTGACACTAGTAACTAGTGAGATGTGTCTAGTCCTTTGTTTGGTGCAAACTGAATTCTATCAGTCAGGTTTGGCCGCCATTCTAAGTAGCTCGCTAGGCAACACGGTACACATTGATTTGATGATATTGGGTGATTGATGGTAATCGATCACAAGAAGCCTTCCTTGACCTAGATTTCGTGCTGATTGGCACTCACCAGTCAGCAAAGGTGTATCTTCAACTACCTTGAAGGAACTCATGTCCCTTCTGAGATTCGAACCTGCTTCACTCGAGGCGGCAGTCATAGATGTTACCAGTGAGCTATTCAGACTCACGATTGACCTCCTATCCAATAAAAGTATCCATTAAAGTCTTACTGCAGGTCAATCACGAGCCCGAATGGCTCAGTGGTAACGTCTCTGACTCCAGTTCTCACTGGATGACGCGAGTTCGAACCCTAGAAGCGACATGAGTTCCTTCAAGGTGGTTTCACATACGTCTTGCTAACTGACGACTGTCAACTAACACAAAACCAAGGTCAAGCAAGGCTTCCTGTGGCCAACTGCCTCCAAACATCAAATATAATGAAGTCCGTTTTTTTTTCTTTTAGATTTTCTTTTGCGTTAATTACTTCTCCAATGATTCATCACCAGAGATGATTATTTAGACTGATGATGTCACTACCAATACTGGCACAGCACACTAAATACAATAATGGCGACTCGCCTGCTTACTAACACGATAACATCAGACGATAACAATAATAGTAGTGTTCGTTGAAATTTAATTAACCAGTATTAGCTTAAAGTTGTTGAAATATACATACATTAATCAAAAGAAAATACTTTTGATACACTGTAAATTTACCAATAAATAATTTGTTCAACTAACTGCCTATACCTACACCTTATTCACAGACGATGAATCATTTTTAAGGAAAAAATCAAAATAAAGATAAATACATAATACACATACTGTTCTATGACTACACTACTATTATTGTTTGTAAACTTACTTTGAACTGTATATTCAATAATTCCATTAGTATATTATGTGCGCCTAAATGACGTAAAAGTTGTTGAATTTGTTCAAATGGAAATGAAGACAATGACGTCGACGATGATGACGATGATGGTGATGACACCGGTGACGATGGTTTAGATGATTCATGTTCTGCATAAATGGCACCAAATACTTGACCGGTTATTTGTACACTAGTATCCAGACTAGTGTCTTTTAATATGTTTGCATTATTTTGTAAGAATAGAGAATGACTGTGGCGAGACATTTTACGGCTTTCAATTGATTCAGGTTGGCATATAGAAATAATATTACATAGAATCTGCATATTTGATGGCAAAAAAGAAAAGGAAGAAAAATGGAATTGTATGAAAAAATGAATGAAGATCAATGTAACACAATTTCATCATTAGAATAAAAGTTTATTTGGTATAAGCGTACACAATGATACAGTGCTGTTGTTTATTTACGAATGACGATTCGAGTACAATTCATCACTGCTTAGCATCATATCAAGGCACTTACATAACTTTCCAACTTCGTTGATATCATTCTATTATTTCTGTGAATAATGAAGTTAAACAAAGAGGGGTGGAAAGGACAAAATACAATTCTACCACACAGTGGTTGTCGGCAAATGAAACAGAACAGGCAAGCCACAGGTAAAAGAAGCCTCAGAACATTATATCAGCTAATCAAGTCTCTATCTGGAAAAGAGATCAACCCAGACGAGGGAACCGATAAGACATGTTCAAGGAATCCTGATTACCAAGGAGGAGAAACAAATAAAACAATGAATGGATTGATCACTTTGAAGGACCCCCCCCCCGCATAAATACCACCACCGCCAACAGCATGCAAGGAAATGCCTGCCCGTGGACACAAATTCTCCAGTGAAAGCCGAAATCATAAATGCGATCAATCTAATGAAGTCCAGGAAGGTAGCAAGACCAGACGGAATTTTCCCTAAGAAGTACTGAAAACGGACCCAGAGACTGTGACAGCTGTCCTCACGTCAATATTGCAAAAGGTTTGAAAGAAGGAAAGGTGCTTAATGACTGGAAGAAAGACTACCTCGTTAAGCTACCAATGAAGGGCGACCTAGTTGTGCCTCTGCAAGAACTGGCATAGAATAATGCTCTTGTCCATACCAGGTAAAATACTAAGTCGCGTCATCCTGCAGAGAATAAAAAATGTACTGGATATAGAACTCTTTCACGTGGAACAAGCTAAATTGGGGACAGGAAAATCATGTGCTGATCAAAGTGCGACTCTACGTATCGTCAATTAACAATGCATAGAATTGCAGTTAAAACTCTATCGCAACTTCATTGACTTAGAAAAGACCTTCAGAAGACAGTGTTGATTGAGGAATGATTCGAAAACTACTTCAACACTACGGCCTACCGTATCCAAGTCTTCATCAACCTCATTCAACAGGTGGCTATAAGACGATGCCATGTGTCAGGTTACCGATGACGGAAAACTCATCTAGGCAGTCGAAGTGAATACAAGAGTAAGACAGAGCCGGTCGCCTATTATCACCGATGATATTCCTATTTGTGGTAGACTGGATCATGTATCGGATTGTTTACAGGTAGTGAGGAGCGAGGAATACTCTGGACCACCAATAAGAAGACTCTAGAATATATGGATTTCGCAGATAATCTATATTGTATATTATACAAACTCGAAAACGTGCTGGCGAAAACCAACCAACCGACAGAAGAGCATGGCAGCGAAGATAGCACCCCCAATTGAGCATAGGGAAGACAGCGGTGATGAAGATAACCAACAAACCAACAGCAACAACAACCAGCACCAATCATCATCCTTCACTTATCTAGAAAGCATCGATTCGACTACAGGCAGTTGCAACGGATGAAGATATCAAGGCCAACCACCCAGCCAGAATCGGAAAGGCAGGATACATTTTCATCAACCTGAAACCAGTTTGGAAATCTTCAGCATAAACAACTAGAATCGGGCCTTCAACAACAATGTCAAGTTGGTTCTTCTATGTGGGTCACAATCTTGCACTGTGTGTCACGTAAAGGATTTAGAACAGGCTTCTGACTTTCAACAACAGCTGCCCATTTCGCTGGCTTCATACTGAAGATGAAATGGCCAGCTGGCCAGAATTATGAATTAGCAAAAAGAAACTCTGACTGGTAGCAGTGCAATCGGGAGGCGATCGCTTATCAAATATGTGTGAGAAACGGAGATGGATCAAGCATTCGTTGAGGTGACCGTCGAATGACATCGCGCGCAATACAGGCCATTGCTCGAGTGGGATCACAATAGAAAGCGATGAGTGGGTATTTGGTGTTAGGATGACATGTAGGAGATGATGCGGTGAGGATGAGATGAGAGATTGTGGACAATCGTCGATCCAGCTGAAGAGAATACCAGAAAAATAGAAGGAACTGTAAGTGTGTTATTGGAGCCTTATTTTCCACTTGGAATCCAAAGTAATAATTATTTTATAATAATTTTTCATCATTTGATCTTATTGGTAGTATTATTTCACATATCTCTTGTACTGATGTTGCATCATTCCTATTCCATGTATTTGACACATATTTAATAATCATCCTCACCCTTCTTCACCTCACCATATTACCTTTTCGAAATGTTCCTTTGTTCATTAAATTTACGCCTAACACATGTGATAAGAGTGATGGAATGCTGTTACCAGAAAATATGGAAAATATTGCTTCCAGTAAAACGAAGCGTTAAGGAAAGATGGGATTATGGAGATGAAATCTAGAAAAGAGTTGTCTGAGCATCTTGATATGAATTATGCTCTATGTATATCGTCCCTGAAATGTCATCAGTTATTAATACGGGTATCACTGTGTGCTATTATCAAGTCAATTTATTCTGTGTTGGAATTATACTCTACTCAGCTGACCAAATTCCATTCGCTTTATTCTGAACAATAACAATTTTACAGAATAGAACTCCCAGAGTTTATATATATTGCAACAATTTAGCTCTTTTCATGAATATGCAGATATATGAGATTAAAAATAATAAAAGCACATAAAATTGAAAGTTGAAGGAGACAAAACGGATTATTTTTTTTTCCTTCACATTCCCCAGTGGAACGTAGGACTTCAAGCTAGAGGCTTGAAGTTTCTGTAGCAGTATTTATTTTACAGGACGGGGTTGCTAGCCTCATGTCCAACCTTTCCTCTTTACCAGCATTATGTCTGGCTTAGCGTGGTAAAGGAGTGCATCGGCCGGGATCGAACCCCGGACCATTTGCATAGTCGGCGAGCGTCCCAACCGCTATGCCACCGACGCTTTAATGAATTATAAGTAGACAATATCATAGATAATACATGTAATAATAATCTTTGCTCATACTTTGCAGTTCAGTTAGAGATTTAAAATCTTTATAAGTTCTTTTCTCACATCTGGCTATCTCTTAACACAAAACCCGTGCTAAGTGTGCTATGGTATAATCTTCATATTTAGTTGTACAAGCGTAAATTCTAATGATGTTTCTTCTGGTTTCAGTCCCAAAGAATATACAAGGCGAAAGTTGAGAGTAAAGAGAATGTTCTGTATTCTAAAGGATAACTTTAGCCGAATACTTGCAAGAATTAAAGTGCCTAGTGACAATAGTGTCAATTAGCCGAGTCAAAGGCACACCACTAACCCTACCAACTTATAATCTTCAGTGTTCTACGTAATATGACATAATCCTTTCTGAGAAGTCCAGGAAGCAATGCGGAGAATACACTAATTAACAAACTGTAAGAGAAGAAGAGGTTGAGTTATGCCACGAAAGACTCAACTTCTTTATGTAATAAGTCAGTCGAAAAAGTTTCTTAGAAATCAACAAGATATGAGACGACCAACAAACATTCGAAGAGAAACTGATGCCACAAAGAGAGATATTCGATTTCCTCTTTATCACAGCGCAGTAAATATTGCAGGAACTCTGCGGCTAAATCAGTCTACGCAAGTCTCCTTCTTTGCATCTGAAACTAAAATCAACAATATGATATTTAGGTGGATTCAGCTTAAGACCATTTAGGTGAGACCACTTGTTAGCTTCAGACAAGAATCTTTTCACATATAAGAACAATCCAAAGCAGAAACTACCGGGACAAAATGGTTAAATGTCGACATATTCAATGCGGTTCGCTTCGGAAGCATATGGAAAGTCATGAGAAAAGAAAGAAAAACTGGAATGGAGAGAGTACATCACCTTGAAGCAGACCACTTTCTGTTAGCAAAGAAGTGGAACACTAATGCAGTATGCATGCTAACGAATAGTCTCATATGACATGATAATACATTGTATTTCTGCTCATAAGTAATAAATATAAGCAGTCGCTTGTGTAAGATGGTCGGAAGCAATCTGTGGGAAACCTCCAGCCATCCATCTAACAGTGATTTAGAGGTCAACTTCGATTGCGAGCCACCTAACATGATGACAACATTTCAAACCCGTTAACAAAGTGCCTAATTCTAAAATAGTAGTTAGATGACAAAGCACTGAGGTGATCAGCTGAAGATGCCGCATAAATTAGTGTTCTATATTTCATTTTTAAGTGTGTGAGCGTAGACGAAATATACATAAATATTGCTAAAGTAACAAACACTGCCAGATTTGGGTCGACTGACTTATATGACTGGTTATCGAAAACTCTGAGCAGTCGGCAGTACCAGACCTTATATTTATCCTACTCTACAATGAAGACAGTGACAGTGTGTTAACTACTCCACTTATCCGGGAAAATACATCATCCTTTATCGAACGATTGGTAGTGAAACCTCACTAGAGATAGAAAAAGGCTTGTACGTCATTTGCCAACTTACTCCATCTCTTGAGTAGACGTGATTCCCGATTAGTGATCAAATGAGACATGCCCACTGAAAGTGTGAGACATAAAAAAACTAGCTGTCTTTGACCATAGACGTTAGCATCAAATCTCCCGTGTTAAGTAGTATAACATAATGAGTTATACTGAGGTCACACATAGAGTGTTATATAGGAAAGACAAGTTAGTTGACAAAGTTGTCAAGCCTTACCGGTTGAGCTAGCTAAAACACATGTTGTACATGCTAATCCAATGCCTTCCTCGACAACTTATACTGAGCGACATAGGATCAGGCTGGAAAAGAGTCATGGGTGCTCAAAACGAAATCTGGCATCCATTCATGAAATCCTTCACATTTGATTTTATCCAGCCACATAGGCAAGTATAGACTGCTTGGTCAAAGTTGTTGGGATTCTAAGAACGAATGGCTGGGGGTGGGGGCTACTGCTGATATAGCGCAGATGCATCTACTCTTCGTAATCTC